CCTCTTTCTTTTTCTTCTTGAAAAAATGAGGTGAACATACATTTTGTACATGTGCTGGCTTCATAGTTCAGAGGACTGCAGTGCACACTTGTTGAAACATACACTTGGATGTTGTGAGGGCCAAAGATGTTGTTGGGACAAAATTTTGTCCCGACAAATTGGTCTCAAATTTGCAGTTGTCCCATCAACATGATAATGGCCTGGGCATGTTCATGGTGTAGCCTTATTATACGTACATGCTGTTGTACCCCATGTACTGGCAACTTAAACCAACCTGTGGGGAAATTCAAACTGCAAGTCTAGGAATTTCTAAAACCGGTGAAAGATGCAGCCTGTTTCCATCCTGGTTTTGTGCAAAGTGCCTGTACGTATCAGAAAGTCTAGCCTACAGATATGGTATTCAATTCAGTTTGTTGATCATGCCACAAGATTTGTGGGGAGCAAGCCACAACTCACTTGTCAGTCTGGTGGGTGCTGGTTGCGTTATAAACTTCCCGTCTGTGACTCCACCTATGGATTGGAAACTACCCCAGCGATTCTGGTCACAATGCCCCGTTCTGACCACTGTTGAAACTACATTGTACCACAGTGGTGCTGCCACCTTCATCACCAATATCCTGCTCATACTATTGGCGGGTGACCTTTCCTACTCTGCATCCTGGTCTATTGTTTGGTCAGCGCGTTCGGTTTGGGAGGAAGGAGAGGACTGGCACCTCTGGGCAAGGCATCTGACTAATGCCTTAAATGTAAATGCAGCTCTGCTTACCCTCATCAGCATTTAATTTATTGGTCAGAACTCGGAACCAAAATACCAGTACCCTAGACATGCTTTAATGAAATGTACATGTAGGTCTACATGCATCAAGAAAGGTTTGAAACAAATCCTGCTTTTTTGCACATCTTATCAATAAAATTAGCATCAGCATTATGCATACATGAACATAGGAGTTACGTGTACATGCGGATATTTTGAAAGTGTCCACAAATCGATTTTGAGCCCACAAAAGATCATCTGTGAATCAGTTGTATTTATTGATCCATTTCTCAATTATTGACTGATTAAGAGATTTGTGCACAAATTTTGAAAGGAAACTCCACAAGAGGTAGCAGAATGTGTTTTTTTTTTCAGTAATGACGACGGTGGCACGATTTATTTCATGGAGCATTGAGTACAATCCTTTAGATTTATTCACTGGTGGGATTAAATCTCATCAGTCTAGTGTTACATGTACATGTAATTGCATTCATCATGTTACCAGGAAAATGAGGAATTTCCTGGATCATAAGAATGTGCAAGCTCCCTGCACAATTATCCTAGAGTCCCTGCTGATATTTGTTTTCTCTTTTGTTTCAGCAAAGCTTTCGCTCTCCATACGATATGCTTGTATTCAAATTTAGAGAGAAGGAAATCTGGTCCTAATTTGAAACTTGTAATAAATGCAAGCGGATACATGTGGCATATACTTTTAGTCCGAATGCTTTTTGACTCTGGTGTAATTTTCAATTTCAATCAATTTTCCTTACGGGTACACGGACAGTAGTTAGGGTGTGTTTATACCGAAGCTTTTTATCAAAAGGTTTTTCAAATTTTAAATTTCATTCTAATATCCATTTTTTAAATTTTATATTTGGTGTTTTTTTTTGTCTACCTTATATGTTCATTTATTTTCCATGATTTAATTTTGATTTTATTCTATTTTGAATTCTGTACCACACTGTTAATTGGGCTCCAGGGCCCTGAGTGTGTTTATGAACAACATGCATACTGTACTCCTAATCTAAGGAGACACGGTTACTGCGGTTGCTTCACAGTCGTGTTGTTTTAAACTGTAAGCCTGCATCTGCGCATACATTAATGACTA